ACAGGTGTTTGTCTAACCTGTTAAACCTCCAATGACAGAGATTCCACTACCTCCCTAGGTAACTTGTTCCAGTGCTTAGCTACACTTTCAGTTAGGAAGTTTTTTCCTAATGTCTAACCTAAATCTCCCGTGCTGCAATTTAGGCCCATTACTTCTTGTCCTGTCCTCAGTGGATGAGAACTATTTTTCTCTCTCCTCTTTTTAAGAAATGGTTACCTACCTTTCATAACTGTTGTTCTTCCAAGATATGCTGCTCACGTCCATTCCATGTTAGGTGTGTGCATGCCCATGTGCACAGCTGCAGGAGATTTTTCCCTTTGTGGTATCTGGAGGGCTGGCTCTGGTGCCCTCTGGAGCCCAGTACTCTGTGCACTGGTATATGGGGCACTACCAGCCCCGCACCCTCTCAGTTCCTTCTTCCTATGAACTCCAACTGCAAGGAAGGAGGGCGGGTCATGGAATGGACATGAGCAACACATCTCGAAGAACAACCATTACAAAAAGGTAGGTAACCATTTTTTCTTCTTTGAGTGCTTATTCATGTCGATTCCATGTGACTCTCAAGCAGTATCCCTGGAGGTGAGTTCTGAGTTCATTTACGTGCTGTTTGCAACACTGCTCTGCCGAAGCTGGCATTGTCCTGGGCTTGCTGGGTGATGGCGTAATGGGACGCAAAGGTATGGACTGAAGACCAGGTAGCGGCTCTGTAGGTGTCTTGGATCAGTACCTGTGCAAGTAAGGCCACTGATGAAGCTTGTGCTCTGGTGAAATTGATGGATAAGCTTGAGGAGGCAGCTGTCAGTGGTGTTGAGCTGCGCACACCATTTTGCTTCGAGACACTGAATGTGCCAGTGATGTTGCCTTGTTGACTCACTATGGTGAATCGTTGCAGCTAGGGGCCAATCTGATTCTGCAAGAAGCAGAGTGCGCTGGTCTGGTTATCAGTCTGGATGAAACAAAGTTCCTGGCTGTTACTATCAAGTAGCCTGTAATTCGAGATTACAACCAGGTCAGTCTTAACTTGTTTGGATAGTATATTGAGCAGATGGGAACTGTCAAATACTAGAGAAGTATCATAGACAATACTGCTCAAAAGATAGTTGCAGCAGCTATTTCTGTGTTCCAAACCCTTTAGTGGCCTCTGTGAAGACACTGTAATATCAAAGCTTACCACAAAGTTGTTGATCTATAGAACCACTATTGTATAGCAGTGAGATGTGGAAGAAGCACTGGGAAGGTTGAAGAGTGATGAATTGGCTTGTTTCTGATTCTCGTTTTCGTCAGCTGCTCCATATTATGTAGTAGCATGAGATCAGCAATGAGAATATTCATGGTCAAACACAGCAACAGTTTCCATTTTTACTGGTTTGATTTTTGGCAGCTTTCTCTATATGGATATACTAGGAATGAAGACCAACAAATTACAAAACACGTTTACCAAGGAATGCTGCTTTGTGGTTGGTGATTATGTCATCAAAAGCTCTGATGGTGCAATGAGTGACTCAGTCAGTCGGTGATGGACAGAGGGAGTATGCAGCAAGACCGTTTTAAGACCTAGATAAAGGTCAGTTTGGATGCCACTTGATCTGCATGACGGCCATGTCCTTTTGGTATTTGCCTTGAGAATGATGAAGAGTATTCCTTCTGCATCCTCTACCAAGAGACTAGTTTTATTTAGTCTGAATTGGCTCCTGTCATGGCTTTACCCTGAACCATTTTAAATATGTCAGCCTGTCTGTTAGGGTTGGATTTTTGTGTCCTTAGTCTCTGAGAAGAAATAAGTTGGCTGCCCCATCCTGACACTCTTCCCTTTCCACCACTTTCTTGAAGAAAAAGTTGTGGTTTAGAAAGGGTTTTTTTGTCCTTTTTAAAAAAATGGGAAATCTTTTTTTCTATGGGTCCAAGGAGGACTGTAGGGTTTCTAGATTTTCAGTAGGTGACTTTGGTTCTATGTTGGTATTTTTGAACAGATAAATGTATTGTTGCCCCAACACAAAATAATGATCCTGTGACGGGGCACCTGCACACTGGGCTCTAAGGGGTTAATAGAGCCCTAGGGAGGCTGCGCAGAAGGCAGCCAATCAAGCACATATAAAAAGGGAGTTGCAGGGCAGAGGAGGGCAGTTCTCTGCTGGGAACCCAGGGAGGAAGGACTGTGTCTCTGGAGGGTTGCGAGAACTGCCAGCACCCTGGACAGAGAAGTGCTGCTAGCAGGGACCGGGAGAATGAGAGACTGCTCCTGGCGGCTGGGGTTTGCAGGCTGAGGCCCTGAAACAAGGGCAAAGAGGATACTGGGGCCACAAGGAAGTGGCCAGACAATTCGCTGCAGTAGCCACTAAGGTAAGTGGCTGAACAGCGGACTGCAGGTCCCCAGGAAGGGGGGGGCACAGTGTGTGGCACGGCTGGAGGGCTGTGTCGCTGAAGAGGATGCTGCAGTCCTTGGAGAGACGTGGGTCCTAGAGCAGGAGTGATGGTGCGAGGCACCACCCTAAGAGGGCACACTAACACACAGAGCTAATCCCCAGGACACCCAGCAGGAGGCGCCACAGTGGTGAGTGAACCCCATCACTTGAGCATATTCATAAATGATCTGGAAAAAGGGGTAAACAATGAGGTGCCAGATTTGCAGATGATACAAAACTACTCAAGATAGTGAAGTCCAAAGCCGACTGCGAAGAGCTACAAGAAGATCTCACAAAACTGTGGGACTGGGCAACAAAATGGCAGATGAAATTCATGGTTGATAAATGCAAAGTAATGCACGTATAAAATGATGGGGTCTAAATTAGCTTTTCCGACTCAAGAAAGATACCTTGGAGTCATTGTGGATAGTTCTCTGAAAACATCCATTCAATGTGCAGCGGCAATCAAAAAGGCTAATAATGTTGGGAATCATTAAGAAAGGGATAGATAATAAGACATAAAATATAAAATTGTACATATTTCCATGGTACTCCCACCTCTTGAATACTGCGTGCAGATGTGATTGCCGCATCTCAAAAAAGATATATTGGAGTTGGAAAAGTTTCAGAAAAGGGCTACAAAATTCATTAGGGGTATGGAATAGCTTCCATATGAGGAGAGATTAAGAAGACTGGGACTTTTCAGCTTGGAAAAGAGATGACTGGGGGTGGTGGGGGTGGTGAATGACAGGTCTATAAAATCATGCTTGGTGTAGAGAAAGTAAATAAGGAATTATTTACTCTTTTCCAGAACTAGGGGTCACCAAATGAAATTAATAGGCAGCACGTTTAAAACAGAAGGAAGTATTTCTTCACACAGTGCACAGTCAACTTGTGGAACCCTTTGCCAGAGAATGTTGTGAAGGCCAAGACTATAACAGGGTTCTAAAAAAAGCTAGATAAATTCATGGTGGACAGGTCCATCAATGGCTATTAGCAAGGATGGTATCTCTAACCTCTATTTGCCAGAAGCTGGGAGTAGATGACAGGGCATGGATCACTTGTTCGTAACTTGTTCTGTTTATTCCCTCCGAAGCACCTGGCATTGGCCACTGCCAGAAGACAGGATACTGGGCTAGATGGGCCTTTGGTCTGACCCAGTATGGCCGTTCTTATGCTCTTATTCTACCAGAGCCTTGGCTTGTTCAATGAAAAGAATCCTAGAAGAGAATTGCAAGGTAGCAAACTGGCTGTCCTTGGATTCTTTTTAGGCATTGAAGTCTGGAAATTGTTAAGTCTGTGGATGTTGCCTTCGTGTGGTGGGTGCGCGTGCTTTTGAATTTTGAGTTGGGATAATTATCCTGTATGTATTGGTGATTTTAGTGCATACAAATAGTTTTTTAAAAGATAATGATGTTTGTCACTTACCAATCCAGAGAGTCTGTACATAATTAATTTTTTCTGATTCTGTTGCTTAATGCTACCTATTTGAGTTTTCTGTTTCATAAGAGATGTTGCTATGGAAATTTCATTTGACAAACTGAAGCTTGAGAGAGGCATCCATAACCCTTTCTTGGTTGCTTTTTGTCTGTCAACAGAGGGCTCAATATCTAAGTTCCCTCTAACCTGTGTGGCCATGTAGCAGGCTATAAAGGGCTGTGCAGGCGCGCAGCCACAGGGGTCTGGGGAGATGAGAGGGGTAGGCGGGGAGGGGAGCAAGTTGGGGTGTGCAGGGCTGCCGTGGGGAGAGGCACCTATCCCCAGGTCTCGGGAGCTGCTGCCAGTGGGGAGAGGGCTGGGGGCAGTCCGCACCCCAAACTCCTCAGCCCTGACCCCACCCCAGAACCCTCACCCCCCAGCTGGAGCCCTCAGCCCTGCACTCCAACCCCCATACAAACACTCTGAATCCCTCAGCCCTGGCCCTATCCCAGAGCCCTGACCCCCCACCCCAGAACCCTCCGCCCCAGCCCTGAACCTCCTCCCATACTCTGAACCCCCTTGGAACCCCCGCCACACGTCGCCTCCATATTGGTACACATAAAATTCATTCTGCACATGAATGTAAAACATTAGAGGGAACATTGCTCAATATGCTAGTCTTGAATGGTAACAGAGATGGACAAACACCGTGTACAGGTTAAAATTCTATTTTAAAAAAACCAGGCTACCCCTGTCCCCAAAATCAAACAGATAAAACTGTTGCACTGTGAAATGAAAATCCAGCTCGCAAGAGGATGCGTAACATTTCCATTGACCCCATGGGTCATGTCCGCCAAGTGCAGAATGGAACTTTCTCTAGGCTTTCTTCTGTCAATCGAGCTGAATGTTTTCATGTGAAACTTAACCAACATTAACTCCTTCCTCACCTTGTTACCAAGGTGAAACTTTCTAAGGATTACTATCGCTCACATAATTCTTCATAGGTTTATTTGTTATCCTAGTTGCCTGGGTCAGTGAGGATTGGTTTCTTTGGCTTTTGTGGGAGTTCTGTAGTGAGGAATGTGATCAACAGTTCAAAATGAATATTTAGACAATTTAGTTAAATACAGTCATAAGTTATATGATGAAACAAATTACTATTATGTTTGTTTTTTCTAGGATATATTTATGTTTATAACAAGGCAACTGAAAGGATTAGAAGATACAAAAAGCCCACAGTTCAATAGATATTTTTATTTACTTGAGGTAAGCTAAAATTATTACTATTTATTATTACTACTTTTTCAAGTTCTTGTAATAACTACTGTACCCTTTTCTTTCCCCCCCAACATAGAATATTGCTTGGGTCAAATCTTATAATATATGCTTTGAGCTAGAAGACAGCAATGAAATTTTCACACAGTTGTACAGAACGCTGTTTTCCGTAATAAAGTAAGTATATTCTGATTGATGTAGTTTTAATTATACATTTCAGGAAAACTATTCTAATTTAAACATTGAATCTGTATATATTCTGCTTGCTCATTAAAGCTGTTAGTCTGGATATTATAGCAATCAAAGCTTAACATTTCTGTTTTAAGAATTCAGTTTATTATACTTATGCTGCTGCCTAGGATTAAAAAAGTATATGTTCTGCCTCGTTTTTCAGATAATACTTTGTGGGAGGATTCAGTTACCCACCTCCTCTTTCCAAAAATCTTGGTGATATCAGAATGTATTAGTGTTTGGAGAATAACTATTGAATATACAAAAGCTTTAAAAATTTAGTGGCATGTTTTAATTAGATATTATCTTAGGTCAGAAGTGTGGGAAATATTTCCAAGATAGTGTCTGTGAGCGTAGAAAATGAGAGCTCACTCTGGCTCTACTCTTTTGGGTTTTGTCTTGTATAATATCCTTAAAACAAATGAAACTGAAACAAACTTCCTAGCCCAAAATTTAGAAACAACTTCTTTAGGAAATGCTCCTTTAAAAAAAGGCACTGTTTTTGCGTTCACTGCCTATTTGTTTGTATTCATCTTACCTGTTGAAACTATTATCTCAAATAAAAATTTTTAAAAATGGTGTAGACAATAGATTAAATGCATTTAGTCCCTACTTTGGAAGTACATATTCTCATATTACATCTCCAGTAATGACTCAGACTTGGTCATTCTATGTTTTTCTGTTGTTCTGTATTTTAGTACCTTGCTTTTCTGGTCAGTGGTCACTTATGTAGACTTTTTTACTGTTAATAAGAATTTACTGTCTGCACTGAGTTGACAGTATTATTTATGTGTTTCATTTTCCCAAATTTGAGTTTTGTGGTTAGATACGATCTGTTAGTTTACATCAATAGTGTGAACACTAGTGTAAGTAAATCAAACACATTTTACCTGAACTTTCCCTTGCTTATTTTTGTGTCACCGGTACATGTGCATTGCTTAAAATTTTTGTTGATTTGTTCCATATTTTTTATAATATTTATTTAGAATTTCAAGCTGAACATTGAACTAATGACATCACAATTATGAGACTTTCATATTGTAACACTGGGAGAACTTTTGTTATAAAGAAAGTTCATATTGTGAGGGTGGAGAGAATTTTTATCTCTGTGCAAATGTGCAATTTTTTCCTTGTATAGCGTAGTACATGGAGAGAGAATAGAGAATACAAGAAACATTATAATGAAAATTTGCATATAGAGCCTCGTCATTAGTTTGATTTCTCAGGATGAATTTATGCTTTACTTTTTAAGAAAAAGTACTGTTTCTGGCTGTCTTGTGATTGATTAGAGGTAGTACTTTGTTGTAATATAGTACATATATTTATATATGCTAAGAAATTCTACCTTTAATTTCAGCAATGGTCATAATCAAAAAGTACACATGCACATGGTGGATTTGATGAGCTCTATCATTTGTGAAGGAGATACTGTGTCTCAGGAGCTTTTGGATACAGTTTTAGTTAATCTAGTGCCAGCACATAAGGTAAGCCTCAATAGCTGTTGAATTTTACGGCTTGGTCGTGTTGAAACTTGATCCAATTCACAGGGCAAATTGTGAGATGAATTAATCCACTAAATTTGCTTGGTCTAGCCTTCATGACTCAATTTTATGTAAAACTCAGGGACATTTCATTGCTTTCATTGGGTTGTCATGAAGTGAAAATGTTTTGTCTTAGTTTTTAACAGTAGCCTAATGTTGTAAATATTTTTCTTTGTAAACTTTATTTGCATTGTGACTTGTCTGAAAGTTAATTGTGAGTAACATCTTTATTTAAGTGGTATGTGGGTAGTAAGAGCCTTGCATAAATGTATTGTTTCCTTTGAAACCAAGGTTGTTACTGTTTAGTTTTATTTTTAATTATGTTTATGATTTTATAGTTGTACATGTGTGAACAGGCCCAAGTACCATACTTTTATAAATTGGGGGGGGGGGAGGGGAGGCAAAATTAATCAAATTTATGATTTTTGCCTTTGAATTAACAAGGGTCAGTGACTAAGTGCATCATAATGCATTCTCAACATTGTTTTTGACATTAATAAAAACGTTAGGAAAGTGGTGGAACATGAAGTACTAAAAGGATGGATGCTTTACTTTTGATAGCTTACGTGCAATCATGCAGTTATTACTAGGCAAACTGAGAAATGACTGTTTTAGACTTTTATCTTTTTGGTATACATTATCATCCTTGAATTTTTAAAAAAAGGAGGAAAGCCTGATTTGTTCTGAGGTATAAACAAATGTGGGATATTATCTCGTGGAACTTGGGATACAAGATGTAACATAGATAAGATGATGCAAAGTTATATAAGTTACATGGAGATAACTGAATTTTGTAAGATAGTTTTGGAAATATTACTGCTTAAATTTTGGGCAGCTTTGGATGTACTCAGTGGAGAACAGTGTCTTTTGAAACTAAACTATATATTCAAGAAGAGGCCTCAGTGTTTTTTTTAAATGTTATACTGCTACAGACAGGCTACAGTAGATGGATATGTGAAAGATTTTGATTGTCACTTCCGAGTGCTGCCTGGTGTGTGTGTGTGTGTGTATTTTTTTTTTTTGGTAAAAAGTGATTTTATATTTTTTTATGGTTAAATTGATCGCAACAATTTCAGAACAGTATGTAAGAGAGCATGGTTCACTGGAAGGAATGTAGTCAGACTTTTGAAGAGGTGCTCTTTGACAGAATAAAGCAAGGTAGTACAATGTTCTGTGTACATCTCACTTCTGTGTATTCAACATAGAAAATTAATTAATAGAGCAGAATTTCATTATCATCATCATGGCAAACCTCAAAGGGACATGGCCCCCTTGCAGACTGAGCGCTACCAGGATTAATGAGAAGCAGAGTTTAAGCGGGTGAAAAGCTTCTGTTTTTTATTGACAATCTTACTATTCAAGGCATATAGAGAATACCTAAATTGTTGTATCAGACTTTTTTGACTGAAAATATTCAAAGTGCATTCTTACACGCAGCTATATTGTATGTAATTTGAGAGATACCAGTACTTATCTGTGACACAAAAATCAGCCCCAAAATTCAGATTCAGATTTATTAGAGGAGACCTCAGGGTATGAAAAATGTAAAAGCAATACTACAGACTCTGTTTCTTCAATTTGGAATTTCTCTCTTTTGAACATCTGTCTTTTATTTGGTGTTTTTGTGCCACATTGATCTTTAGACTTTACAAATTATTCTCTATCATTTTGTGGAAAGTTGTTCCTGCATCTTTAGTGAGAGATGATTCAATATATGTTTCCATGAAAGTTCTAAACTTTTATTGAATAGAAGTACAGTAGTTTGACTCTTATTATAGAATAAAAGTTAAAATATTCAGGGAAGATTGGATGTAGTATTGAGCACTGTGCAGGCTGGTTTGAATAGTAGGATCTCAGATGGGCATTTTGAAAGTTTATAGTGGATAAAAATAAGGTATTGGCAGGAAACCCCCCGAATTGTGTAATGCTTCGATTCTGGCTTTTCTTCCTCTTCTTGCTAATAAAAGGTGGCCTTTTTAACTACACTAATGTTAATTATATACAGGGCTTCTGTGTTTTTGGGTTTATTAATTTGGTTTTTTGAAGTTAATTTTATCAAATTTTCAGTAGTAGGAATCCAAGAATTGGGTTTTTTTGGGGCTTTCTCTTTGTATAGTCAGTAATGAATAATGCATATAATATACATTACTCATTACAGGGAGTAATCACTTCGTATTGTTCCGAAGTGCGCTTTAATGTGGTTTTTTTTTTAACGTTTCAAGCAGCACTACATTAAATGCACTAATAAACATTTAATGCGCACCAGCAGGGTCTACCTGGAGCAAAAAATGCGCAACATGAGAGTACGCTTTAGAAATCACACGCCGTGAGTCCTCATTACTACTCCATATAGATGAGCCTTTAGATACAAGTAACCATTTCTGCTCTTTTTCTTATCTTTAGTGGATTAAACACTGATTTAATTTTTTTGTATTGTGGGTTTTTACTGGTTAAAAGCACAAATCAGAAGCCCTAAATACATGCTCGCTAATTGCTGCAATTATTTGCATAATTTGCTTAAGTATAATGTTCTGAGACTTGTATGTATGTGATCCAAGTCTGTTGTGATCTAAATCTACTAAATGCAGGTCTGTATTTTACATTTGGTTATTCAGCCAGTATTCTGAAATTTTTTGGTACAGATTTTAGGCTTCATAGTGAATACAAGTGATATATTTATATTTCAACACAAAAACTCAGGGTACGTCTACACTACCCGCTGGATCGGCGGGTAGCAATCGATCTATTGGGGATCGATTATCGCGTCTAGTGAAGATGCGATAAATCGATCCCCGATCGCTCTGCTGTCGACTCCAGAACTGCACCACTGTGAGAGGCGGAAGCAGAGTCGATGGGGGAGCGGCAGCCTCGTTCCCGTGCCGCGAAGTAAGTGATTCTAAGTTGATCTAAGATGTCGACTTCAGCTACGCTATTCTCGTAGCTGAAATTGCGTATCTTAGATCGATTTTGCCCCCTCCCGCCAGTGTAGACCAGGTCTTACTTACGGTGAAGCCTGAGATTGAAGGCGCAAATCAGTGGTTTAAATGTATATTACTTTACAAAAAGGTTAGCTTTTTTTTTTTTAAAAGCAAAATTCCTCAAATGATAGAAAACCAAGAAATGCAAACTTGAGGTCACATTATTTCAAAAAGCCCACCTCCCTGCATGAGAGGTTAATGGTACCTAGCTCCCATATACCACTAGGAGAATTAGGCCTTGTCTACACTGCAGGGTAGTTCGATGTAAGTTATGCAGCTTGTGTTACGTAACTTAAGTCGACGTAGTTTACATTGAATTACTACAGTGTTTACACCGCGCTATGTCGTCAGGACACTCTCTCCCATCGACATAGCTTCTGCCTCTCAATGGGGTAGAGCACTGAAGTCAAAAGGAGAGTGCTCTCCCATCAGCTTACTACAGTGGTGTTGATTTAGTGGGTCTGGTGAAGATGCATTGATTGTAGCAGTGCTGATTTAGCCCGCAGTGATGACCGTCCCTTAGAAAGGGGCAGTTTGTGGCTCTTCAGGAACAGTGGGAGGAGCCAGAGGCTTAGTACTTGGGGCCAGGTTCAATGTAACTAGGCTATTGAGTACTCCGCAGTGTTTTCTTCCTCCTCATCTTTGACTAAGAGGGGTGTTCTTCCCTGCCAAATCTGCTCAGAGTATTATATTTTTTGGGATGCAAACAAGGTGATCTTCCATGCCTCCCCCAAATTGCCCCTTCCTTCAGTATGGGATGGGGGAAATTGTGGAATGCTGCCATTCTCTTGTATTCTTGCTAAAGGTGTTGGAGGGGAAACAGGTGGTTTCTCTCATCTCTCTTCTCCCATCACTTGCAAGCAGGTCCCTGTAACATTGCATATACATTCTCCCCTGGTAAGTATGGTGAGAATATCTGCTCCTTACAATTCCCAGCTCTGTCTTCCTATTGGGAGGAAGTTAGCTCCTCACTGCTACAGATTCTTTACAGGGGTGCCCCCACCTTCTCATGTCTCTTATGGCCTGCAGCAGTCCCTCACGTCTCTTGCCTCTGCTGATATAGGAGTCTACCTGGGCAGGGCTTTTGCCTGCCATCAGAAAGAAAAAAGGGTTAGTCATAGGCCACACAATATTAAAAGAAAAAAAAAAACCCACAATCCTTTTCTCCTACATATGCACATAGCTTACACTCTTACCATTTCCTTTAAAGACTTAGAATTGGACATTTAATCAGCTTGACTGTATTTTTTTTTTTAAACTGACCCTCTGAATAAAATCTATAATCACACTTTATTTTTTTTGTTTCGTTTTGTTTTTTATGTTGTTGTCTATCATCAGCTAGGAGGAACTGCAAGCGGTGGGTGTTACTCAAGCTGGGCAGGGTGGAGCGCGCTGTAGAGTCAAATTTACAGGATAGTTATTTTAGAGGTGGTGGGGGGGGAGGGTTAGTGATCTCTCTCTCCCCTCCCTATATATATATCTATATATCTATAATCTCGCATAGCTTTCTGTCCTGCGTTTATTTGGGTGTATGAGACTAAAAGTTAACTTAAATAGTGCAGGAGTTGTCACAATTGTTCATAATAGAGAGTGCTTTTTTTATCCTTCCTATTCAAGATTGTACAGATCATCTCTCTTCCCACTGTTGCTGAACAACATTCCTGAGGGAACTACAGATGTTGGGAAAATTAACTGAAAGTTGAAATTTTCTGACAAAGCTTTTTTCCGTTGGAAAATACTGACTCCTCTGAATCAAACATTCTTCATAATATGTCGATTTTCAACAAAATTCTCATGGAAAACAGGCAGATTGATTGGGAAGCAAGAGCCTGGATGTCTTGGGAGACCAGGCTTCTAGGGTCCCAGGCTCCTGAGCAGTTTTCTGGGTGCCCACTTCCTGCCTGGCCAGCTTCCCAGGCTGTCCTCCTGGAGGCCTGGCAGCTGTTTTACAAAAAATTCAGAGAC